AAAAATGAACGCACAACTATCAAAGGAGAATCTAATCATACCCTCAACTACATAATTTTAATTGACAATTTTCCTTAACGTTACTAGACTCTATTTTTACATTTGCTTTTTCTAAAAACAAATTCAATTTTTCATTTTGAAAAAAACAGCTCAAACTTCCACTTTCAATAAATTATTCCAACTTCTATTTCATTATTTTTTTAAATTTTTTTCTTTAATAATATTTTTACAAAAAAGTCTCTCTGTCATATGTTTATGAAAATTCCACGAATTTCATATTTCTCCCTAAAAAAAATGTGAAAGTGCTGGATGCATGGGCAATAGTTTTTTTTTTTTTTTTTCCTTTTACTATAACTATATTTAAATAACTATTTGAGCCACATTCTTTAAGAAAATATTTATGCAACAGCGTTTTGACATCATTTCAACCACACTTTTTTAATAAAATAATATTACACGTAAATCTAAAAAAATTTCTTATTTTTTAATCACACAATTTTTCATCGATACACTATTCAAAAATTCATTCACGCGCAAATAAGGGCTCAGAAAACATTTCAAAGAAAAAACAAAATATTGGTAGGTTCAAGCCGGCCTCGAAGACTTTGATATAATTTAAAGTTGGCATAGTTGAATAATCATTACACGCAATATCTTGGCATCTTGACACGTTTTTCCAATAGGATTGCTCTCCCCATTAATCAAAAATCATCCATGTGAATTAATTAATTCTACATCTTATTCTCTTTCATAATTGTTTTTATTTTTAATTATAATTAAAGTACGATTTGATTCTCTCTGTATCTATCAAAGTAGTAAATGAATCTTTAATTTTAATTTTAATAATAAAATTTCTTTACCAAACTTCTAATTGAATTTGAGGTTCTACCTAATAACTCAAAAAGTTGGTCATCTTAAGCAATATTGCTTAAACTTGTGAGATTTTACCGTTGAGTGAATTTTTTGTTTTAAGTTTTTGAACTCTGATAATATATTGGGATTTGAAAATTTACTCGTTACTAAAATTTCATCAATGTTCAAGTGTTATTTTACTTATTTTCTTGAAAAATAATTACACAAGATGAAATAAGTTCAAATGGGACAAATGTCATAAAGCAAAACCCAAAAATTTTCGGTCCTCATTTAATGTTTTCTAGCTCCTTCCTACAATAATAAAAAATAAAAATATTAGGTTTCTATTTTATTTTCTTGTCTCTTGTTAATGCCTCCCTAACACAAGGTCCACCATGACATGATATGGTCTATTTTGAATAAGTCAACATCGTTTTGTATTCTTTTGTGATTTCAATGCTATGGAAAATTAAGCAGTAATCCAGAACCTCGTTTCATTTGGGTTTTCCACAAAATCAGAGTTCAAATATTGAATTTCACCATGAAGCAACCAACCAAAAAAATAAAGAAGAATTAAGAGACGAAGAAAGAAGACATATTATTTAGCCCAAAAAATTAGAGTAAATAATGAACCAAATTAGTTTATATATTATAAGAAAGCCTACAAAACTAGAAAACTAAAATAATAAGGAAACTAAATATATATTATTATACTATCGTCCCCCTCAAACTCACGATACTAAAGTAGGAAGCAGCGAGAGTTTGTCATGCAAGAAATAAAAACGATGAACGGGATGAGACTTAGTGAAGAAGTTAGCAAGCTACAACGATGTATTGTGCTATTAAGATCAAGCAATTTAGAGAAATCAGTTGAAGTGTGCTCTCCACCTAAGTTACATTTAAAGCACTTAAATAGAGTTGACTGATGAGTTTTAATAAGTGCTCTAAAAGATCGATAAATAGAAAGAAAGTCAGATCGTCATTTCATAATACAAACCCAACAATAGCGACTATAATCATTACTAAGGACACATAATATCGAGACCGTCCTTTAGTAGCAATAGGAGTAGGACCCTACACATCAGAGTAAATAAGATCAAATAGTGCAACAGAATAAGAAATACTTCGAGGACAAGGTAAAGCAAAAAATAGAGCTAATTTGCAACTACTACAATAAAAAATGTCATAAGTTTGTATATCTCCCAATTGACCCTTAGAACTAAAAATTTCGAACGACTAATGGAAATATGTCTAAAGCGAAAATGCTACAAATAAAAATTAGAAGACGATGAATTCAAAGAAAAAGATGACAAATCAACACTAGAGGCTGCAATGTGTAGTGGTCTTAGATTGTCCAAATTATATAACTCTCATTGTCTACAGCCTATCTTAGTCAAATTTTAAGATTGAGGATCCTGCACATGACAAGCAATAGAAAAAACTGAACTAAGTATCTAGAATCATACAGTTGGATAATATAAATAAGATTCAAAGTAAGAGTTGAAACACAATGGACATCTTAAAATGATGATAAGTTATGTGTATTAACAGAATCAACACCTTCTAAGGGCAATGGTGTACCATCAACAGTCATAACAATCATAGAAGAGTTAGAAAGAGGCAAATCGTAAAGAATTTTGAGTTAACGACATGTATTTGGAAGCACCTAAGTCAAAGATCCCCGAGGAAGAAATACATGAGTAACTCTGAGATGACAAACCTATATGAGTGAATGTTGACATAGCATGTAGCTGTGTGGTCGAGAACTTCTAAAACAGCTCTACTAAATCCATCAACACGACATTGGAGGAAGATAATGCTCTAAGTATAGACAAGTCGCTAGATGGCATGATAACAACTATGTTAGCAATAGGACTATAGGATCACTGCCGTGGTTGAGGTTGCTGCTTCTTAAATGGCTTAGGATATTAAGACTTTCAATGTCCTTTTTGTTTGCAAAAGTTACACTCATCACTAGCAACTTGTACATTACTTTTGTTCTGATTTAGCCAACACTGAGGGGCTAGATAGAGGAAGAGATACTTCTCCTGCAAGAGATTTCAAACGTATTTCCTAAGCTACAAGTTCACTAACCACCGAATCAACTGAAGGAAGTAAAGTACGATGCAAGATAGAGCCTCTAAGTTTCTCAAAATCATTTTGAAGTGCCATAAAAAACTGATCTAATCGCTGCTCCTATCTAAAAAGTAATATATTCCTCATATGTTTTCAGTTTGGTTGATTCCATAACAGCTAACTTATCTCAAATTAAATTCATAGTGGTTTAAAACTCAAGAATACTCTTCTGATGTAAAGCCCTAAATTAATCTCTAATTGATACCATTTTACAAATTTAGACTTAGGTTATCTAACTCTATTACATAATTCTCAGCAATATTCTCGGATTTCACAACAGTTCCACTAATATAACCCCACATTCTATTTACCTTTAAAAAGTTCATCATCACGGTACTCTAATATGAGTAATTATTACCATTTAGTTTGAGACTAATGGATTGAAGTGAATTATCCCTCGCAGTTGCCATTATTAAATCAACAAATAAGCTACTACCAATCAAATGAAATCATCAAGTTCTAAGAGAAACAATGACACTTAACACACCAAGACGAACTACCGTCGGAATATATTGTACAATACACATATAATTAAACTAATACCACCAAACGATTAGAAACTCACCATCCTGGAAAAACATTCCATGTGCCTCCACAGTCTCCGCTAAAATCCGTTCACGCGTCGTCGAAATTACACGTGTGGTAGTACCCACGCCGATCAGGTATGGTTATCTCGTCATCGGGAATACAAATATGGTCTCCAATCTTCAATAGAAAGTTGGGTTTGAGAGATATTGTATATTTTCAGTGATGACTCAACACAAATTTAGAGGATTTTTTTTTTAATTCATTTCAATTTCAAGAATTGTCTGAGAAGGATTGAGATGAAATGATTGACTTCAACACACAAATTTGGCCTCTAATATCATGAAAATAATACGAACTAATTTGATAAATCAACCTACGAAGAAGAAGAATTAAGAGACGAAGAAGATGACGTATTATTGAGCAACCAAAAATTAGGGTAAATAATGAACCAAATTAATTTATATATTATAAGGAAAGAAAATTCTACTTGTACATAATTATTGTACATAATAGTATCCATAATGTGATGTGACAATCATCCGGTTGTTGATGTGCAAGTGTGAGATTTGAATTAAATGTTGGATCCAGTATCACGTGTAATTATGGACATCATTATATAAACAATTATATATATATAACACTCCCCTATAGGAAAACCTACAAAATTAGGAAACCAAAACAATAAGGAAATTAAATATATATTATTATACTATCAAGGACGAAGTAGGAAGTTCAAGGATTGTGCCATGGTGGGTTGAGGGTGCGTAGTGATGGTGGCAAGGGTGGAGTATGTGGAAATAAAATTAAAATTAGTTATAATTATTCCAATCCCCAATTAGGCCGATCATTAACATTACTTTAGTACAAGCACACTATTATTATGGATTCTCTTATTAGATAATCTAACTTGACATAGCTATCTATCATTATGAGTTAAATATAAAGTTTAGATCATCTCATCTATTTTTACGCCAATATTATCGGAAGAATTTTGTTATTTATACACCAGGGTGTATAACATCCTCACAATAGGGGCCCGCGTCCAAATAAAAAATCGCCGTTCTCATTGTGAAGGAGTGAAGGACCTGTACAGTGAGGTGCACCATTGTACACATAACAAAACATTTACCTAAAACATAGCTCAAATGGTCTATATGTTCACTTACCCATGTCTTTTTCCACAAATTTGTTAGACTTTTAACTGAAGTCTACAATTTATTCCGCTTAATGTCATTTACACCAACCCCCTCCCCAGTTGGCACTATCGTAGAATTCGATATATGAAAAACCATTCAGAATCATGCATCAGATATATCTCCATACTATTGGTGATTCATTTCATCATTTTTCAGTTTTGTTTCAAAACAATTTAACCCCTGATTCGAAGAATAGATTATAAGCTCTTTTCAGCTTAATTAATTAAATAATTCTGGTATGATAGCAGCCTCTTAAAGGTATATACTACTTTTCAGTTTTCAATTATAAAAAGTCACATCCAATGTTCCAAGTCATTTTCTTTCTCATAGGGCTGAGCTGAGTCCAAGATTGGCTATGGAAAACCAGACCCAAGAGGAAGTCCCAGAGAACCTAAACAAACAACTTGCTCTTGCTGTTAGAAGCATTCAATGGAGCTATGCAATTTTTTGGTCCATTTCATCTAAACAACCTGGGTAAAGTTTCAATCTCTTCTTCCCACCTCACCCCTCAAGAAAAAAGAAGTTTTTTTGGTTCTTCTTATCTTTGTATTTTTATCGTTTTTTTCTCTGTGGGGTTGAGGTGGGGTGGGGTTCGGGGTTTGGAGATTTTCTTACAGATTATACACTAGTTCACAAAAAATATCGTGAATGAAAATACCGATGACTTCTTTTTACTGGTAATTTGCTTATTTTTAGAAAAACTTATCATATAATGTAAATGGATTGTTCACGTGTGTCTGATCTTGATGGGCTATCTTCTTTACAACATTAATGGTTGTTCTGTTGATCTGTTCCTTAAGTCTTCCAAATCTGCTTTATTTACTATCTAAAAGTAAAAATTAAGGAAACTTTTTGTGCAGGCAGCAGGACCATATTATATCTTATTGAGGACTTTATTCCACTTTTAGTGGCATTTGTTTGGAATTTTCTTGGTCATTTAAAAGGGAAATTCTGGGTGATTGTTGTTGCTACAATTCATGTTGATTATAGTGCAGTTTTCTGTTGACTATAGCTTTGTTAACATGTGAATGCAATTATTAGGGTATTGAAATGGGGTGATGGGTACTATAATGGAGACATTAAAACAAGAAAAACTGTTCAGGCTGAAGAACTGAATGCGGATCAGCTCGGGCTGCAGAGGAGTGAGCAGCTGAGAGAACTTTACTCGTCCCTATCTGCAGGGGAAACAAATCCACAAGCTAAAAGGCCAACGGCCGCATTATCACCTGAAGATCTCACTGATGCTGAGTGGTATTACTTGGTTTGTATGTCGTTCGTATATAATGTTGGCCAAGGGTAATTCTTCTTTTACTTAAGCTTTGAAGTTCTTCTGATTTTTTATTATTATTATTATTTTTTTCTCCAGTAGCGCTGTTAATGTCTTTGATTCGAGTGATTATGATCATGTTTGGCTGTGTTTAAATGTTACTTTTCTAGAAAACAGTCTTATTGGTAAAAAGAGTAATTCTGATTATCATGTTCTGCAAAATAAGTAACTTAAAAGTAAGTTTGACATACTATTAAGCAAAACCAAAAATGTTGTGTATGTGGTGAAGCAAGTTATAATGACAAAGAGCTTTGCCATCGCTTTTTATTAAAAATGGTTGTAAAATCATTGCATCTTTCATTCAAGAATTTATGTACGGTAAATTTTACTCTGGAGAGAATGACAATAAGTACTCTCTACCTCATATGATCATTAATACAATGCATCCTCATTGCTATGCTGTCACCGTTTCATTTGTTGTTTGTTTGCAAACATGAAATCTGTTGCCTTCCCGCCGGGATGATGTGATCTCCCAACTGCAGGGAGACCAACTGAATTACTTATGTTTCTTGGAAATTGTGTATATACCAACTATTTGTATTTTGGTTAATATTAATGGACGTAAGAAATATTAATCGGCTATGATTAGCATAATTTTAGGTGTATTTCGAATTCAATGACTTACTGAAACCAGTCATTTTGATTTTCATTGGCATTGTAAAGGTTGCCGGGGAGGACATTAGCAAAAAATCGGACTGTCTGGCTATGCAATGCTCACCGAGCAGACACCAAAGTTTTCTCTCGTTCTTTGCTTGCTAAGGCAAGTAGACGACTCTTAATTTAGTGTTCATCTAGGATCATTTTCTATAACTCTTACCTTACTTTACTTTTCAATATCTTTGTCTTATGACTGGCTGGACTTCCATTGCTTTCTGCAGAGTGCATCAATCCAGGTATTCATCTTTTTACTTGATCACAACTCCAAATATTACATGTACAACATGTTTAGGATATCAAGATTTTAAATTAAATTTCTAATTTGCAACGTATTATGTTCTAAAGTATTACATTATTGAAAATAACATGCCTTCTCTTTGATTTGCAGACAGTAGTATGCTTTCCACATTTAGGAGGGGTAGTGGAGCTGGGAGCAACTGAGCTAGTAAGCCATTTTTAAATTACTGTTCAATTTTAGTTGTCAAAACACGGTTTTATCTCAATTTGTGAACTCTTATGTGTTTCGTAGGTTTTAGAGGACAAGAAACTCATTCAAAACTTAAAAACTTCTTTCCTCGAGTTTCCTTACCCCATTGTTTCCAAGATTCCTGACAATGCCAGAAACAATAATGGCCTCATCTATCATCAAATCAATATGCCAGAAACTAGTTTTAATCAGCATGTGGAATATCCTGAAGTAAATAATTGTTCTCCCGACAATGGTTCGAATGATTTTGGGGCCAAGCAACTAAATGAGGAATTAAATATGGTAGAAGACATTGATGGGGAAGCTGGTCAAATGCAAAGCTGGCAATTTATGGATGATGAAATTAGCAATTGTGTCAACAATTCTACGAATTCCAGTGACTGTATATCTCAAACCTGTGATAATCCTGAAGATATTGTCCCAGTTTCAAACGGAAAGAAGGTAACTCATAATGAAATGCATGAGGCTCAAGAAACCAATCAACAGAAACTGAACTCTTCTGAATCCAGAGGCGAAGATATTCATTATCAAAGTGTTCTTTCCAATCTTTTGAAGAGTTCTCAACAGTTGATTCTTGGACCCTACTTCAGCAATAGTAACAAAGAGTCGAGCTTTATTAGTTGGAGGAAGGACAGATTATCAAGCTCTCAGATTCCTCAAACTGGTACTCCACAACGATTACTAAAAAAAGTGCTTATCGAAGTTGCCAGAATGCATGAAAATTGTCGGCTTGAATCTGGTAAATGTGATGGCAAAAGAGACAGCCTTTCTAAACCAGAAATAGAAGAAATTGATAGAAATCATGTCTTGTCCGAGAGAAAGCGCAGAGAAAAAATAAATGAGCGATTTTTGATTCTTGGGTCCTTAGTCCCATCTGGTGGCAAGGTACTTAAAACTACGCTCCTTTTTCATTGGTCCACTGATATAGTCCTGTCACGTTCAATAAATTAGTTAAAAGTTTGCTCATTATATAGTCCTGTTGGGTCCAATACTGCATACCAAACATTCACTAATGATATGTTTCACAAGTTAGTCAAAATTTTGTTCATAGTAATGTTCATATCAGCTTAGTACTGTGAATGAAACCTGACTATATGAGAAGATTTTTGGTTTTTATGGTTGCAGGTCGATAAAATATCAGTACTTGATCGCACTATAGAGCGCCTAAGGGAGCTCGAGAAAAGGGTTGAAGAGCTGGAATCTCACAGGGATGTAGACATGCTAGAGTCGAGGACAAGAAGTAAGCCTTACGATGCCATTGAGAGAACTTCTGATAATTATGGCACTAATAAGAATGGAATCAGCAAGAAGTCTTTGACAAACAAGAGGAAGGCTTGTGATATGGAAGAACCGAGATCTAACAGTGGCTGCAGTCTGTCAAGAGATTCTTCAACTGATAATATAACCGTTAATGTTGTCGACAAGGATGTGCTAATAGAGATGAGGTGCCTGTGGAGAGAGAACGTGTTGCTTGAAGTCATGGAAGCCATAAGCAAACTACATTTGGATTTTCAATCCGTTCGATCTTCCAACACTGATGGGATACTCTCTTTGACTATAAAATCTCAGGTTTGTTCTCTACATCTAGAAAATTATCCATTCGGCGATGTTGAAGATCCTTGAGACTAAGGTCATGTCATGACCTTGGATGTGTAATTTATGTAGAATCTGTATTTTGAAACTTAAGTAGATGTTTGTAGAGGAATTTTCCAAGCAGTTCAGTCTAATAAAGGGGGTTTTCTCATTCTCTTGAAGAGTGCTGATCTTTAACACAGATTTTCTTCTGACGATTCAACTAAAAACATTCTCAAACATATTAAAAAATGAAAAATAAAAAACTGAAGGAAAATGTTGTCGAATCAATTTAAGTGAAAAATAAGCACTTTATGTCTTATATTGAATCAATTCAAGTGAAAAACAAGCATTTTATGCCAGATTCTTGCTGGTATTTATTCATTTCATTATAGACATCGCTTTCGACAGTACAATATCACCTATGCTTTGTTGCACGATTCTTAAAATAATGTCAGCAAGTGACATTCTCTGTGCCTTCTTGTCACCCTGCACAAAAAGCATGAAGACGAATTAGACGTCTAAATTGTCTCGAGCTATGGGGCGGCCCCGAGTACAGAAATATGGGCCCCTATAATATTAGGCCTTGCACGAACCTAAGGACGGGCGACCTCAGAACTGTTTGCACCAAAAATGAGTACACCAATCATTTTTGTTCAATTTAACGTATCAAATATTTCTTAAGTTTACATTAACTTGTGAGAACAACTTGCAGACCATGCCAAACGAGAAACATCATGCTATTTTTTATTGTAAGAATCTAAACATGATTATTCTATTCTAGAAATAAAAAGGGAGAAAGGGAGCTGCATCAATTTAAAATTCGTGTTTAGGTGAATATTGAGAAACCAAGGAGTGGCCAATGCCAATTAAATAAGTTATTTTATTATTAATTTCTGTGGGTAAACAAGAAAAAGAACGACAAAAGATTAGAGCATGACCATTATGAAATTATATTTTCAATCTTTTAATAATGTGCAACAGAGATGCAATGTTCCACTATTAATTCCCGTAGATGCATGCCCTTAAATTTTGGGGTTGGTGGTCAGAATGGATCATACCCTTTTCTTTTGTTTCACTTTACAGTCTGATCTACTTATTACAAGGGAACGGAGTAATTGTTTTGTAATATTCTTTTCCATTCAATATTTCCATTGAGATATGGAGTTCGAGATCCGAGAGCGATTTATAGAACTCTATGACCCCAAAGTGGATGACCGACTCATTTCATACTAGAAATAATCGCAAAAAGTGATACGATGAGATAGAAACAAAAACATGAAACAAGTTACCTACAATTAACGATCAAAGCAAGCCCCTTTATTCTGAAATTGGATTAGCTTCACAAATGATGATTTAAATAAGAATCAACAATGTTGAACCACAAAAAGATGGGGGGTTAAAAAAGAGGTTCATAATTAAAAATGTTAGTTCTCGTTAAGATGAAAAATCATACTGAAATTGATCCCTTCACGACTTCATATAGCCTAGCAATAATAAATGATTACCCAAAATGATATGGAATGGCACATTTGATGAAGTAGATTAAATAGTATTAGACAATATTAAAGAAAATTAAAAATTAGTGTATTGCGCCCCCCCTTTATACCAAACATGCACCAAATGTATATCATACACTATTCATTATATATGAATGTGCTCCACAAGGGAGTAGAAATACAAATTTAGAACAACTAAAAGCTACTACAGACATGTTGCTTCCAAGTAAAAACCACCAATAGGATAAAAGTATTTTTTTTCCTATCAATTTTTTAAAAATAAGTCGATGCATATTTTTGTGAAGAATCATTGCCCTACTAGACTTTGATTTTCCGGGACTTGATGTTCCTCTCAAAACTCATCAAGATCACCAGCGGTAATGGAACTTATGCCCGTATAAAATTCCTTGGACAAATTCAATTATTCCCACTCAATAGTTGCCGGAGGCTTTGATGTAATATCTAGAAGAACACGATTTACGCCTTGAACTTCATTGCAAATCCTTGTTGATAGATCAGCCAGAAACTTGTGATCGAAATAGTACCTAGAAGTTTGCAATTGCAGAGAAAAAGAAAAAAAAACATACAGTAAGTAAAGTTTCTGTTAGGAGAGAGCTACTAGAATAAAAAATTGTATTCATAGCCGTAGTTATCAAGCACACCTTAGACTAAAGACAACGGAACCTAGTAATTACAATTTGCATGAGGAAGCCAAGAGCTGATATAAAAAAAATAAAAAATAAAAAATTTACGAAAAGATTAAATACCAGTCTGCAGTCATTCCATCATGACTTGTGACGGCCCTAAGTGCGATGGCATAAGAATGTGTTCTTTGATCTCCTTGAACTCCAACTGTTAATACTGGCATGAATACAGCAAAAGCTTGCCATATAGAGTCATATATCCCAGCATCTTTGATTGCCTGAATGAAGATATCATCCGCCTGATATGGGCACCACAGTCGACAGAAAAAGACATTAAATAGCTGAATATTGTTGCATTGCGTATATTTAAGAAACAAATATTCATATACCTTACGCAGGATGTCCAAACGGTTTCCTTCTGTTACATCACCAGGGACCCTCACTGCAAGGCCAGGCCCAGGGAAGGGGTGGCGCTTTAAGAAGGAAACTGGAACCCCCATAATTCTACCCAGTTCTCGAACCTTCAAACAATTGCAATAGGACGCCGAACAGATAAAACAAATCATGTCGTGCAAACAAAGTTTAACATGTAAGAGTTCTCGAAACTTAAAAAGAAATTGAACTGAATACCTCATCCTTAAATAAAAGTTTAAGCGGCTCAATGAGCTTCAACTTCATGTCCTTGGGAAGCCCTCCAACATTATGATGACTCTTGATAGTGTGGGAGTGAGTCCTCCCACTTCCAGGTGGCGGGCAAGATTCAATTACGTCAGGGTACAAGGTTCCTTGGACCAAATAAAGAGGTTTCCTTTGTAACTTTTTCTCCAAATCATGAGCAAAAGCATCAAAGATGCAGATAAATTCATTTCCGATTATTTTTCTTTTCTTTTCGGGTTCTGTTACACCTTTGAGCTTGCTAAGAAATTGCTCAGTTGCATCAATGCAAGTAACAGGTAAATGAAGATCCTTCTCAAATGTTTCCATCACCCGCGATCTCTCCTTAAACCTGTAAAATCAAAGTCAAAATTCAAAATTAGATGCATCGAACATTTGAGTAAATTTTGAGCAAGCACCTTCATATATTTTCTGAAATAATAATTTATGAAGGTTCTTTTCAATCTCATAAAAGTGGATGTTGTCTAACCTTAATAAACCATTGTCAACAAAAGCACAGTGAAGCCTATCTCCAATAGCCTTGTGAACAAGTGTAGCTGCCACTGTGGAGTCGACACCCCCAGATAATCCACAGATGACATGATCATCAGGTCCAACTGTCTCTTTTATAATTTTCAGTTCTTCCTCAAGAACATCTTCCATCTTCCAGCCGGCAGTTACTCCACAAATATCAAAGAGGAAATATCTCAACGTTTCCATTCCTTCAGGGGAATGCGTTACCTGCAAAAGATCCATAAGATCATCAAGAAGAATCAAACAGCAAATGCTCCTAATAATCAAGAGATAAGCAATGCGGACTGTTAGTATATTGAACTTAGTTATATATATAGACTATGAGTTCATGTTTCTTTGCAGTTGTTGGCGTTAGAAGAGCACAGTGAAATGCCTAAATTGATTCTGCCATTGCAGAAGAATTCCAATGAAACTGAGCATAATTTGAACGTACTTCTACTGAAGTACAGTTTACAAAATTGATTAGGGTCATTCTACTGTTTCAGCGATGCAGAGTTCAATCCGAGCTCTGAACTTTCACTGAACCTTGAAGACTAATTCACACTACAGCACTTTTGCCATGTATTCATTCTTTTTATTTGAAGCAGATTAACAATAAATAGTAACTATGAGAATTATAGAAACAAGAGAACAGAAATACTATCTAAAATGCCACCAAAAAATAAAAATAAAAATACACTTCATTTTTAAATTACCAAAGAGTTAACTAAAGAGAGAATACATAACAAACAAAAGTAAAACAGGACTATCCCAACCAAACAAATCGTTTTCCTGAAAGACCAATAACAAAAAGTCCTCCATAAGAACCAGTCAAAAGTTCTAATTTCAAATCGATACTCGAGAATTTTTATCACTTTTACTTCAGTTTATAAACTCATACCACAGAAAATAAAGTCACATGAATAAAACTAAATTAACCTATGCATCGTACAAAAAAGGTACACTTTTTATAACTAGACATGAAAAGTATACACAGTCAGCCAAATTATACCTCTGGATGGTACTGCAAACCATATAACCTCTTTTCACGATTCTCCACTGCAGCCACAGACCCCTGCTTGCTCCTTGCCACGACCTCGAACCCCTCCGGCAACTTCACGGCCTCGTCCCCGTGACTCATCCACACACTCTGTCTATCCCCAACCTTCTTATTTCCAAACAACCCACAAGCCTTCTCTACCTCGATTTCCATCCTCCCATACTCCTGTTTCTCGCCAACCCTCACCTCACCGCCCGTTTTCTGCACAATCAATTGCAGCCCATAGCATATCCCCAAAACAGGAAGCTTGTTCGACTCAACATACTCCATGAACCCAGATGGAAAACAAGGCGCGTCAATGGCGTGGACGCTGTGTGGCCCACCGGAAAGAATAATTGCAAGCGGGTTCAGGTCAGCTATGGATTTGAGGGACGATGTGCCGTTGATGCAGAGCGAGAACACATTGAGGGCACGAATTCTTCGGGTTATGAGATGGGTGTACTGGGATCCGAAATCAAGTATCAACACTATGTTTGTTTTCACATCTTGAGGGTCCATTAGCGAGTTTTCAGATTCGGTATTCGATGAGAGAAGAGGGTAGTGAGTTGTGAGAGGGAGAGGGAGAGGGAGAGGGATGGGGATAGCGTTTATGCACCAAGAAGAAAGGTGGCTAGGTTTTAGTGAAGGCGGGAAGCATAATGGATATCCAACTTTATATATCCTCATTTTAAGGAAAAGAAATTATTATTTTATTATTTCAACCTTTTCTCTATTTTCTTCCCCAGAAAAAGGAATTTTTTTTTTCTTTATATGACAAAAGGTGCATTTAACTATAATTTCCAAAGTCCAAGTGGGAACAAAAGCTTCAAAGCGCTGTTAGGGTTGTCCAAACAACTACCAAACAATTTTGGTACACACAGCAGGCCAACGAAATAAAAAATTTTAAAAAAGAATCTGATTAAATTTTAAATATATATAGCCCTTGTTTGGTTCCCATTATTTCTTCATTAAAATAAAAAATATGACCGTTATTCATCACATCAAATTACTAAATTTGTATTTCTATTTCTTGTATGGAGTCTGTAACGACTATATTTTTCATTCTCATCCTTTCAAAAATGAAAAACAAACGGGAGCATAATCTCTACTCTAGTATATGAATATGTAGATCAAAGATTAGCTTTTATCATGCCCAAAATGGGCATTATATCATTTCTGATAACTTTAAATAAATAAATACATTGTGAGCTTGTTTAGGAGTGATTTTTTCTTCAAAAAATTAGTTTTTTTGACTGTTATTTCATTATTTCAACCTTCATATTTGACTTCTTCTCTCACAGGTGAACCTTACTTTTCTCCTAACCGTCAAAAAATCAATTCTCAAAATCACTCCCAAACAAACTCTGTTTGTTTGATCAAATAAGTTTTTTAATTGTGGTGGTTCTACATTAGAGCAACAATGTATTGTCAAATGGACGAAACAGTCTTGATTCAAGGCAACTTAACACACGACAACAGGCTCACTCAGCCCGATTTATTTTATAAAAATGTAACATTACTAGTAAATTGCATTTGTAAAGCATGTCTTTATATTTCACAACATTTTTAACCATCTAAATTGCAAACGTACCAATAAAAATGTTAACCTGCTAATAAAACCTTTATTCTTCATTATACCTTCTATGTAACTAGCATTAAATTAGATGTATGAAAAAATATGAACAACAGCTTCAGCTTAATGTATCAAAATCAAGAATCAAATACAGGATTGATTCCTCTAAGATATATTCTGCAATCTGACTCACAATTTCCTCTGTATAAAGCCGGATATCAAGCCACGATCCCGAATTTGCCATATCTTTGCCAACGAGCTGGTCCAACGTCCTTTTCTCAGTGCAAGGAAGGAGGTAAAAAACAGCTTCTTTCATTACCTCGTCGACCACCTGTTGTTCCAATGGCGCAAACTGGATTTTCGATTTAATGAATGATAACCAAGGGGGCAAACCAAAATGACGTCTATGTACCTCTTGCAGAACTTCATTAATGTGATCGAAAAGAAGTTTAGGATCATAAGGAGAATCAGTGGATGGAAGCTCTACTTCGTCGAATAAGGATTCATAAATTAGCTGTTCGGTGAGTGGCATAATTGCTGATAACTTGTCCCAATTCAGACAAGAAGCTTGCAAAACTGCATTTACATAACCAGAAATGGAAGCCTTTTCATCCATGCAGGTTGTTGGAATGAATGTGGGATCAATGGGGGACGCCTCAGATGTGCACCCTTCATAATCTAGACGACGTGGTTGTAATGGCTGGCCAGCTGCAAAATGACCCGAATTACTACAACGACGAACTAAGTCTAAAAATTTAAGCTTTTCCAATCATGCACGAAGCCTTATTCCCAACAATTTGGGTCAGCTACACAAATCTCTTTTTGCCATTCTGTTACATTCATCACTAGATATCTAAAGCAGCTAGATTCTTAGCAACTACAAAAAGCCAAGTTAGTTTGGTCTACTTCTCCCCGTTCGGACTTGCCCTAGCAAAATCGTGTCACTGCTGGGAACACAACCCACTCCAACACAAGATACCAAAAAGAAGTGAGAGAGTTTTATTTTATGTCATACTTACCTCTTCTAAGTATGATGCTTGGTGGGCTATTCGCGTCTTCCATGAAAAATGGCTCAAGGACAGAAACCGGGCTTGGGTGCTCATCTCGATCTTTAGTGCTGTCATCTAGTCGGTACGTGCTTAAAGGAGTCCATGGAGAATAATCTGGTACAGAAGGCGAATCCTACAAAGGTTTAAAATGTTAGCAAAGGTTTAAACTTTGAAGTGATTAATAAATCTCTAAGAGGCGGGAGTTAAAAAGGAACATGGACCAAAGAGGTGTTTCAAATCGACGACCACCTACTGAAATAAAACAGTATGAATCCCTCACCGATCTTAGATGCGTTGTATTTCCATCTTCCTCGAGTAATTCAATTCTGTTGTTTTTTTGCATAGTGCCAGATACATCAGTGCTGCTTAATTCACTTGGCCCTTCTGAAGTTCTTGTAAATTCATGATTTGGAATGCTTTCTAATTCTACCATCATTACTCGACCTGAAAAACATGCAAGATGGATAAACAACAGATTGATAAAAGAACAGAAGATTGAGCATTATTGAAATAAACTCGTACCAGTAGACTTCAGATCAACTGCAGCAAAACCAATGTTCTCATGCACTTCTGTATCAGGACTTTCGATCAGAGAGAAATTTGTGTTCGCCTCCAATATTTCTAGTGTACTATCATAGTTCCTAAAATTATCAGAAGATCTAGCTTCTTCATTCCGTCTAAATGGAGTTACGTACTTCTTCTGTTTTCCTTTTCGGTTTTGGCAACTTGCCAGAGAATTGCCAGAAGGACTCAATCTCATCTGCGCGGAAACCGAACCTTTTTCCTTTTTCCTACTTAGGCTGGAAAGCAAAACGTCATATTCGGGTGAGGAGAGAATCTGTCCTAAGGTTTTAGGGCATCTTTTGCTAGTCGAGGTCTCAATGGCATTTAAAGTTTCCAATCTAGCAGAAAGGTGCATTTTTGCCTCCAGAATTACATCAAGTTTACGTGTTCCTTGGATACTCGATGGATTTGATTTGTTACACATGGGTTCGTTCATGCAAGAATTTTCAGATAAACAGCTTGATTTGAGGCCTTGATTCTTGTCCTTCAACTTGGCACCGATGGATGAATTCACAGAATTTCTGGTGTTCATACGTCGACAAGGACTCTCATCTCCAGAGCTCATTTTACTATGAGACCGTTCAACTGTAGTTACACCCATTAAGGGCTGGTATGTCTCTTTCCTGGTCTGTCCAAATGAATATTCCAACTTCCTCTTCATTTCGCTGAAAGAGAAAGATGTAGATTTCACATTTGGTAATTTACTGCTCGACCTGTTATGAAACTGAAGCAACGAGCAATGACAGGAAACATTCTCGGAGTATTTGGTATCCTTTGAATTTGGCTTTAGAACTACTTTTTCCGACATCCGAGAAGTGAGACTTCCTTTTGATGAATGCCCATATTGGTTCTTGATCTTTTCACATAAATACTCGTTCGACTTTAGAATTTCTAGTGCATCAGAGAATGGTCTCGACTCAGAGCATTCCCGTTCCTTGTCGACGAATTTTCGGTCCGTTAACATCTGATCAACAAAAGCTCTGGCACTCATTTGAAATTGCTCGACGCTGATCTCATTGAGCCGGCCATACTCCGCAAGAGTGATACTTCTTCCTGGACCTCCCTCGGGGCTACTCTCTTCTCGATAAATCTGATCGTAAATTGTTTCCAGCATTGCTCCAGTGTTGAGCTTATGGGAAGATTTATCTACTTCAGTAATAGGCATTTCCTTACTCGAATCTGTTCCTGCAAATAGCAGTCTTTTAGCTCTAATTCGCTTCTCTTTTTGCATCTCGATTGACATATCTTCTTGAATGAGATTCCTAACACTTCGCCTAATACAGACAACTCCAAGTCTGCTCCATTCTGAATCAAAACAAATATTGGATTAGTTCATCATTTTAGTTTCTTTTATTATGGCCGCGTCGAGGACTCGTCAAGATCGAACAGAGTTTCTTGACATATTACCATAAATTTGGGGTCGATGGACGAGGGTGAATAATTTGATCCGAAGGAATCTTTCATAAAAGCAAATTAAAGTGAGGGAATCTGATCTATATATTCCATCATAAACCACAGAAATCAAATGCATATTATGATCTAATTTGCGTTAAGAATGGTATACAATGCTGAAAATCTTGAAATTATAGCCTAAATAATCACATCTACTATGGATCAAAAGCATTATTCACCAGTTTAATCAAAAACTACTCATCCAACAAGCGAAAAATCATCAAACTTCATCCACATTTCCCCATTAGCGAGTGTCAATTTCAACCATTCACATAGGTTTTCTACTTTTCGACTCTAGCATAAAAGATGGACTAAGGTTAAAATCTTGTCCTTCGTGCCAAGATTGGAAAATCGTAATTAGGTCCACAAACATTCCCAACACACACACATACATCATACTTGTACTCCCTAGTCATAAAGCTTCTTCAATTCACTATCCCAAATCGAGCTTTTAACACAACTTCCCATCATTAAAAACCAACTTTTCTCAAGAAAATATGAATAAAAGAGAAGAAAAAGGAAAAGGGGTGGGTGGGGTACCTTTAATCCCTTTTCATAGTAGTAGAGATTATACAGACTAGAGTCCTTTCAATAGTGCTGGAGGGCTGGTGGAAAATGGAAAAGTGAAGAGAAGGAAAATGCCATAAAAGAAGAAGAGGAAAGAGAATTCTTTGTATGTATAGGTGTAAACAGCATTAATGGCATAAAATTGCCACCATACACAACAAAAATCTGGCTTTCTTCAACCACTACAAAACTTTCAACTCAAGGAAGATTCTTCAAATTTTCATTTTTTTTTTTTGGGTTTTATATATTATTGTAAATTGGGGTTTTGTCCTGCTAGTTATTATTTTTGTTTTCTTTGTGCGTGTCGTTATACAGCTCGAAACCATATTAATTAATTAAGATAAATAGAGTCTGGATTAAGTTTTAAGTATATGGTTTTGTCATGTTATTGCCGTAGGTAAGTGCTGATTAAGTATATGTGATAAAAAAATTAAGTGAAATTCAATGAACCTATGCGCCTATGACTTTGTTTCTCAGGAAATTTGCCCCTAGCATCGCTTGGTGTAGGGGGTTCATACCAAAAATTAATTTTAATCATATATTTTATAAAATTTAGAGTCCGTTTGATTGCAAAGATGAAATTTAGGTGGAAAGAAAACGAATTTCAGGAAATTGAATTACCTAAAAATTATTTTTCTGGGAATTGTAAATTATTGTGTTTGATTGGTATAATTTTTCACGTGGAAAATGTTGAAATATAAGTGTTTTTGGTATTCGTTTGGCTTTATTTTACATAAAAATTGTCAATTAAAGAGATAGAATTTAGTGGTATTGGGGATGAAATTTATTTCCATTGCCAAAATAAAAAATAAAAAATTCAATAAAATCATCTATCTTTTGACATTCGTTTGACTTTATTTTACATAAAAATTATCAATTAAAGGGAAATATTTTTTTACAATGATTCTTAGAATTTATTTTCATTGCCCAAAAAAAAAATTTTAAAAAAATCAACAGTAGCTACGAAAATCAATTCCCACAAAAGCAAGAAAAATGCAATTCCCAATAAATTCAAGAATTTCTATTCCATGGAATATAAATCCCTATCAAACACACCAAAGTTAGAAAATGTCATCCAAATTCCATTTTCCATGGAAATATTTTGTCAATCAAACAGTGCCTAATAATTTTTATCAACTTTTCAGTTATACATTATATCAACTTTATTAAAATCTACTAAAATCTATTTTTTAGCTACTCTATACAGGTGCTAAATCAAAGATCGTGAGGTTGTGTGGTCTCCATTTTTTTCCTTTTCTTTTTTGGATAAAAGATGAAATACGACAAAAATTTAGAGCATGTTTGGTTTGAATTAAAATCCGATTTTCATTTAAATCAAACAATCAATATTAATCACATTTTTCATAGACCTCACAATGTTTCAATTGCACATTTCAAAAACTTCTATTACAATCTACTAAAAAAATCTAAAATTCTTACCAAACACCGTCTTAGAGTTTATCAAATGAATGTTACATAATCTTTTCTAATGGATTCATTTTCAAATGTAACTAAAGATGTAAAGTGACCATTGTTGAAGAGTAAAATTGTACATAGTGGATTTTTTTTTTTTTTTTTTTTTTTTTTTTTTTTTTTTTTTTTTTTTTGTGAAGCTCTGAAATTCTGTATGTAATTAAAATGTATACAACTTGAACTATATGCAGAATATTAGAATTGGTATTTTCAAACGGCTTGTGGTGTATGTTAAAGACATGGTTGAGATATGTTGTTCTTTTGATGTTACTTATTACGTAATAATGCATTAATGTCTTGAGAACTAGTGTGATCCATTATTCTTTTTCTTACTAATCATAATTTTAAACAATTTATAAATTTATCAAATGAAGGCTAAATCCTCGTTTAACAAATCATTATTTGGGAAAAATAATGTTTGGATAATAATTTTTAAGAGAATTTTTTTTATTAAAAAGTAGAAAAAAATTGAATTTATGTGTAAAATGTTTTATTGTATGAATGTGTGATAAAAGATGAGCATGTAAAACAAAAATAATTTAAATAATGATTGTCAAACAGAAATTAAATTGTGCGGTATGAATAACTCAAAATTGTGCTCCACCTAAATAATATGAAAACAATAATTAATATACAAGCACTTAAGTTATTATATTTAATGAGATTAATTTTTAAAGATGAAATTTCAAAAAATTAAAATACAAATAATTTGTTATATTACTTCAAGTTCATCATTATGCCACGTGTATTAAATGATGTTTATAAGTCTTGTATTTAATAATAAGACCAAATTGTTTAAAATGATTCCAAATCGTATTCTTTGCACTCCACAAGTAGCAAAATTTGACATGAAGTGTTTGGGCTGCATTTTAATTTTAATACATTTTTTTTCTTTTTTAATCGTATATTTTTCGATATAATAATATTATACGTAAATTTGAAAATTTTCTCTCCTTTTTTTTTTTTTTTTTTTTTTTTTTTTTTTAAGAATTACTATTTCAAACTATATATATATTTTTCTTAAAACCTCGTTAAACCGAAACCCAAAGAAGGGAAAAGTGTTGAAAGTCTTGTCCATTTGATCTCAACCACTCATTATTATTATGCGGCAACAATAATTTAATCTCGTTAATCATAGATGTTGTCTTGCAAATCAAGCTCACAAAAGTCATTGTGGTTTCGAAAAAGAGAGTTGCTATCTGTACAGAATAAGTGCTCTTCGAATTCATACAGATAACACTTGGTAATTTTCTATTGAACAATGAAAAAAAAAGGGACAAACCAAATAGATGTATCTGTATTAATTCTGGATGCAATTCTTCTATACAAGGAGAATTGTTGTTCAAAAAAATTGTAAGTTCACACCCTTGTAGTGACTTGGTCCTCAAATTACTATTTTAACAATATCGTCCCTAATCTTTGTCCTCGACTGACACGAGAATCCACGCCCCTATCAAGAGCAGGACATTGTGTTGTCTCTAATTGTGTTGTCAAGTTTTCACTCATTACGTCCATGGTCCTACTCCTTGCGTCACCCTTCCCCATATTCTTGCTCATTGTTGTGCTGATTTGACGAGGTTAGAAAAATATCGATTCTATTTAGGTAAGCTGATTTTGATACGGTATAGTTTGATGAAACAAGTAGAAATTGTGTTGTCAGTTTTTCACTTGTTACATCCATAGTCATGTCCCATGCGTCGCCCTTCCACATATTTTTGCTTGTCGTTGTGCTAATTTGACAAGGTTAGGAAAATTATCGATTCTATTTGGATACACTAATTTTGACCTAGTTTAGTTTGATTTAAACAAGTTGGGCTCGATTAAACTGGTTTAAAGAAAAAATTTCCCTTATTTTAGCCAATAAAAAATAAGAAGAGCTTCTCCCTGTCATGAATCATATTTGAAACACACGTAGATAAATTCATGTGTAGTTAAGAGGACTTGTTTAAGTTCAAATTAATCTATGTACTCTCAAACTATAATGTCCAAATCAATTTATTTATGTTAACTCATGTTAATTGTCGCTTATTCTAATCAATACAACAAGGAGAAGATAAAGGTAAATCAAGTGACTTGTGAGGAAATAACATTTCTAGTTTGGAGATTAATGAGTTATCTTTTAAACTCCTTATCCGATAAATGATCCTAACTTATTTTTCTTATTAGTTATAAGACTCAAAATTGATTGTATTTTGGTCCATACAATTTAAGTCAGCTTATAAGAAAAGTTCTGTATTATTTAAACATACCTTGAGAAATTAAGGTGGCACCAATCATCTAACCATGAGAATCAAGAACTTGTACAAATGTGAGCGATACAAAGAATGGTGTAACCTTTGGCCATAGGATTCCTTGTGCTGTTATGGTGGTTCCAAACAACAATTAGTGTCGGTTGTCCTTATCCGTAGTAGCTGTCTGTCCTAACTCTCAAGGACTCTATTTGCCTTAAATTCTGAGTAACAAAACAAATTGGTGGCACTTGGGACCATAATCTAACCACACCCACTCACCCCTGCATTTATTAATTCTTCATTCTCGCTATATACAACCACAGCAATTTAATTTTGTGTTTATTCGTCTCTTCCCTTTTTGGCTTTTGTGATCGATGAGTATAATGCTGTCTGAGCTACAAACTATTTTGTTTCTTTTCCTGTTTGGTTTTACGTTTTTGAGCATGTATCTAGGTGGGTGCAGGTCGACGTGAGAGGACGGGGTCACACTTGTTAGAATTTTGTTATTGTTGTTCAAAATCTTGTAAATGGCTGAATTGAAATTGGAGAAGGAAAAAAAAAAATTAGAATGCCATAAAAATGGCCAATGCGGTCAGAGAATTGAGAGGAGGCCAGTGCTATAACCATGCAACTGAATGGTGTTCGCAAAAATTATACACCGCAAGTGCACGGATCGTGTTCAAATAATAGAGTGGACTTTTTGAGTCCGAGTCAATCCCTCGAAAAGTATTTATTCCAATTACACGAGACTTGATTCAAATTGACGATAAAGATGCGCACAATTAAAATATTTGAATTTAAAAATGAAAATGATTCTATGCTTTCAATTAAAATTCACAATTGCAATTATGATGAGATTTGGATTTTTGTTGGGCTGGGATTCATGATTCCACTTGGCGGTCACTAAATGAATTTCTAACAAACAAATTAATAGAACATGCTTATTTATTCTATTAAGCCTGATATTCCTATTGTAGTTAATTATCCCTCTCAAGTGAAATTAACCCTAATTAATTGATTTAACCTACTATATTTCTATATCAGTTAAATACAATTGAAAGTATTAAATATCAATGAAAATAACTTAAAAGGTTACCTAGGGTTAGAAGTATATCTCTATTTACATAAGAACATAGATTTTCTACCATCTTGGTCTAAAATGTGCAAGAATTCTCAATAATCACAAATCACTTGACATTATCACTTAGTGGCTACAATAATGATAATGCTCTCAAAACAATGGTAAAA